TCTTTTATTCAATCTGGTATAAATCATTGTTCAACCATCTGTGCTGTTGGTTTCATTCATAATGTTCTTTCTCAATGAATTGCGGTTGTTTTTATTGTACTGAAGTGTAATGGAGATTTCCTTCGTTACAGTGAACTTTCTTCGAGAATTTAGTAGGTGACGATGATTTTAGGGCTGCTCCTTTTAATTAGTTTTGATAAAGATGCCTTCTTTGATTGCCATTTGCATAGAGTTGTAATGATGTGTGGCGAATTACTGTTGTCAAAGCACGCAGTTTGGAAAAGGCTTTGGAAAAATTACACGCATCACCACTCAATGATTAATTCATTCACATATCTAACACATAAACTTCAACTTTTACATATAGGCTTCCTTATCTATGCATGAAAAGGTGTATTTCATTTTCTTGCTCCCTTCGCTTCCCTGTTCTCAAGGTTAGGCCTTGTTTTTACTGTTCAGATAATCATATTTTCTTACTTCCAAAGTCAAATATTTTTTTTTCTGTTCAAGTGAAATAAGAGAAAATTTTCTGATAGAAAATTGAGGTATTCATCAAGTTGCTAAGATTTTCTTTTATTCAATCTGGTATAAATCATTGTTCAACTTGATCTCTTTTGTCTTGTTTTATTTTGATGTCTGTTTTGTGTACTTTTATATGTTGGTTTCAATTAGAATTTGAAGTTTGAATATGAATTATATGGTTATGATATCTGTTTTGTTTTTGGATTTCTTGTATTTGTTTCTTCAATTCTATTTTCTAGTTATGAAATACTAAAAATATTAAATTCACGGGTTTAAACTCCCCGGTTGTACCCGCAAATTTGAACTCTTTTGGCTCCGAGATCTCCATTTATAGATCAGTCTACATAGTGATCAACCGGCTCACTTATGTTACCTTTGCTTTAGAGAACACTATCCTTGAATCCCTCCATCTCCTATTGCACGGTGTCCACTAAAGCTCGAAGGTCCCACTTCATAAGCTCACAAACTTTACCATTCATAATATATTGCATCTTCACACGAAGCTCATGCAGCTCAAGTTCAAGTCCCTACATGCATTCAAATGTGCGCTCGACCTCTTTTTGGAATTATCACTCTCTCTAACAAGAACAGGAGATATATGACAACTCAAGGACTCTATTTGCTCTTTAACATTGAATAAGGATAAATTAATATAAAAAATTCTTTAATTGCTCATAAATTAATAGTTTACTGACCTAATATAATATAATACACTCTAATTGATTATTAAAACATAAATAATGCATTTTATTTAATAATTAATATTAATTTTTAATATGCATAAATATATCTAATATTTTTATTGATTACTATTAATATTGATTAGTAATTTCCTACAAACCCTTTCAGACTAAGCTGTACTTTTCTATCACGCAATAGGCCCAATGCATTCCTTCACTTCAACCGACCAACTTGAATTCTGCTAATAACATCCCCATCTATATTATTATCACTTTGAGCAATCAACCCATATATCTAAAATGTTCAGACCTTTTAATGATTTGATCACTCATAGTTACAAATCTGACAATAGAGTTACCACTACTAAAATTACATTTAATGTATTCAATTTTAGTTCTACTCAAACGAAGGTCTTTAGACTCCAATGTTGACCTCCATAATTCAAGTTTTTCTGAACTTTTTCTTAAGTCTTATCCACAAGAAGGATATCATCAACGAAAGCATACACCAAGGTACATCATTCTGTAAATGTCCAGTAATAGCATCCATAACCATAGCAAAAAGATACGGGCAAAGCCGATCCCTGATGTTATCCAAACTGAAATAGGAAAATAATTGGTCAATCCTCCTTTTGTTTGAACACAAGTAACAACTCTAGTGTACATCTCTTCAATGACTTAAATGTAAGTCATATCAACACATTTCTTCATCCAAATTGATTTTCATATTATAAGTTATTTTTTGAACATTTCTTGTTTTACCCAGAATCAAGGCAGCAGCTTATCATCGACATTTGGAGCTTAATCATGGCTTCCATTTTCTTCCAAGGGATAAGAAGCAACCACTTGATGTTATACCCATTATCTCACCTTAGCAGAATACAAACTTCTGTTTACCGCACAATACAAAGGTCACAAAATCAGACAGAGCTACAGAAAGGGAGCTTCCAAGTACAACAAAAAGTCGAACAAACATCTTCTAAAACCATTTCAAGAAAACCACTCAAACAAAATACAAAAGAATATGAAGCAATAATCGGCATAGAGACGCACGTTCAGTTATCGACAATCACAAAAGCGTTTTGCAGCTGTGCTTATCTCTATGGTTCTCTGCCTAACACCGCAATTTGCCCAGTTTGCATGGGTCTCCCTGGAACTTTACCTGTTTTAAATTCAAAGGTTGTGGATTTTGCTGTAAAATTAGCTCTTGCACTTAATTGTGAGTTATCTGTGACCTCCAAGTTTGACAGGAAACAATACTTCTATCCTGACCTGCCTAAAGGCTACCAAATATCGCAATTTGACATTCCCATCGCAACCAAAGGATTTATTGATTTGGATCTTCCTGTAGAGTTTGGCGGCGGGCACAAGACATTTGGAATAACGAGGGTTCATATGGAAGAGGATGCTGGAAAGTTGATCCACTCTGATAATGGGAGTTCCCAGGTATGGTTAAAATTTGAGAAAAGTGTAAAAATGGTCCGCTAACTCTTTGTAGGGGATCATTTTAATCCCATAAACTAAAAAAGTGCCAATTTAGTCCCCAAATTCTCTTAAGAGGGATTAGTTTAGTCCTCTCTAGGGATTAGTTTAGCCTATTTTAAAGAGTTTGGGGATTAATTTGACACTTCTATATGGAAAATGATGCAGGAAAGTTGATCCACTCTGATAGTCTGATAGTGGTAGTTATTCCTAGGTAAGGCTAAATTAGAGAAATGTGTTAAAATGGTCTTGTGATTTTTTGTAGGGTGTAATTTTAATCCTAGAATTTAAAGAAAGTGCTAAACTAGTCCCCAAACTATTTTAAGGAGGGACTATTTCAGCTCATATTAAAAGTGTTTGGCGACTTATTTGATACTTTTATAAATTATGGGACTAGAAGGGCCCCTTGTAAACAGTTAGGGGACTAGTTCAACCCTTTACTCATTAAAATTGTTATTATTATTATGTCAACATTTAAAATGTAGCAACTTTAACAATTTTATGATGTTAATGTACGCTGCTCTTAAAATTGTTTTATCAATTACTGCTGTCTAGGTGGACCTTAATAGAGCAGGAGTACCTTTGCTAGAGATTGTTTCAGAACCTGATATGAGAAGCGGTTTGGAAGCTGCGGAGTATGCAGCTGAGTTACAGAGGCTTGTTAGATATCTTGGGGTGAGCAATGGAAATATGCAGGAAGGTTCCCTTCGTTGTGATGTAAATGTTTCGGTTAGACCGAGAGGTCAATTAGAATTCGGGACGAAGGTATTTAATGTCTTATCTTGTCTGTTTGTTTATATGAAAAAAAATTTATATAAAAATTAGTGGCATTTACATACATTCCACCCAATTCTTATGTATTTACATATCTAACTCCTACACTTTACTTTTTGCATTTATACTAGCCAAATCTTTCTTATCACATAAAGATATTACTATTTTAACTTTTAAAATGTGAAATACACCTTCTCATGCATAGGTAAGGCAACATATGTAATAATTGAAATTTAGGTGTCAGATATATAAATACATAAGAACTGAGTGATACATATGTGAATCATCCTAAAAATTATTCTATTTGCTTATAATGTTAGTGTTGAATCTAAATTTGAATGCGAGACCCAAGGAATATAACGTAAAAGAAGGAGAAAGAACAGAAAGAGCACAGTACTAAATGGTTGAATTGTGCAACATTTACCCATGAAATGAACTCCTTATTTATAGATTTGAGAGTGGTTACATTACACTTTGTACCTCTAGTAAAGTAGGATTAACAAGGGTATTTTGGATAGTATACATGAATAAAATCGGGCTCTTGAGAAGACGACCGACTTGGTATATGACCCGGGCGGCTGTTCTTTGTGAGCTGATATACTAATCCAAACAGATTTTCTTATCCGGGCGGGTTGTCTTATCCGCCTGGTTTGTTAGGTGAACCCTTGGCATGATCCATGTGGAGGGTTAGATCGAGGTACATTTTGGATGGGTTGGTGACAGTCGCCCGTGGGGCTGGATGTCGCCTAACAGGGCTGGATATCGCTTATGTCGAGCGAATAAGTGCAAGCTCATGGGCTACTCCTGGTGGGCCCTGGTTTGCCACACCATCTTTTCTGCTATCAGCTGGATTTCTTTGAGATTCGTGTTGATATATTTTTAACGTACAATTAGGTTTTGATTATGAACATATGCAAAACATCTTTAAATATCTTTATTATATCATATGTTGTTGTTGTTGAAATATGAAAAATCTCATCTGAATAAAATAAAATTGATGATAAATTTTCATTTTAATATTTTTTTCGAGGGTTTGGTGTATGATTTGTGCTCGGGGCTCGGCTAGCCAAACCTTGGGGTCGTTTGGCATCACTCTTATATTTTTATTTTATTTTATTTATATTTTAATTTAAACACAAAATATGTTTCATCGAGCTACTTATTTCTAAAAAATACTTAAAATGTCTTTTACATGATTTGACTATTTTAAAAAATAAGTTTATTTATTCGTTTAAATTAAGAACATATAAAAGTTATACTAATAAAACATATTTCTAAAAATAAAAGGAAATTAAAAACAAAAATAGGAAACAAAAACGATTCCAAACGGACGATTAGTTTTCAACAGTTTTCGGGTTTAATCATGGTCTTCTCTTCAAGCTCTGCAATATTGGAAAATACTTCAAATTCCTTGTATAATTCTCTTTATCTGATTGGTTTATTTTTAAAATAATGCTGTGGCAACTCCTTCCGACAAGTAATACATTACAAGTTTACCTTTTTTGACAGGTTGAGATCAAGAACATGAACTCATTTTCTGCAATGAACAAAGCAATTGATTATGAGATATCCAGACAAGTTCTTCTCCATAGTCAAGGTCAAAGTGATCAGATTGTACAGGAAACTAGACTTTGGGAAGAGGGGTATCAGGTCTAAAAAACTGATTTTTTGTTTGATTTAGGTTCGGCTTGCAAACTTTCCAATATCTGTGCTAATTTCTGGGCTGCTATTCTTATTCTTTGTAGAAAACAGTAACAATGCGCAAAAAAGAAGGGCTTGCCGATTATAGGTATTTCCCCGAGCCTGATCTTACTGAAGTCATCCTTGCCGATGATTATATAGAAAATATTCGCCGTTCACTTCCTGAACTTCCAGAAGCAAAGCGTAGGCGCTACGAGAAGATGGGCTTAAGCATGCAAGACGTGCTCTTTCTTGCTAATGATGTCACTGTAAGTACACATTTCCCAATTAAACTTGAAGATTTTGATAGGAGTGAGCATTTGGTCGGTTTGGATGTATCGGGTTTCAAATTGGTTTAGCCAATTGCAACCGAAATCCTAAAAAATCAAACCAATCAAAATTTTGATAAAGCGTAACCAAATTTTAATTATGTTTAAATTGTTCAGGTATGAGCAAACTGAAATTTAATTATTCGTTGGTTTGGTTATTAACGAACATCAAGAATTACATAACTTATATGTATAATATTAATTTAATTTTATGAATCTTTCATTTAATTTTGATTTTTTGAATTGTTGGTTTGTTTTGTTATATTGTTATATGAAAATTAAAATTGAGCCAATAACCGAAAAGTGAATATTGTAAAACCAAAAACCAAAATGCTTCCTTGAAAATGAATCAAATTAATCAAACTTATTTAGTTTGATTTGGTTTTTTCGGTTTTAATGTGCACTTGTAGATCTTGATAATAGATTGTGATTTTAAGTTTTCACAATAAATTTTTTGAATCTAGGTGGCGAAATTTTTTGATTCTACTCTTCAAAATGGAGCTGAAGCCAAGTTGGCGGCGAATTGGATAATGGGTGATATCTCGGCTCATCTAAAAAACGAGCATCTTTCAATTGACGAGGTTAAATTGAAACCACAGGAGCTTGCCATGCTTATCGCTTCAATAAAAGATGGAATAATAAGTGGCAAGATTGGAAAAGAGGTATGTTTTCTACTCTTTTTTGGGACAATTCAAGTACTTTTTTTTGGTTGTTGTTGTTGTTGTTGTTATTGTTGTTGGTATTTATCTTGCTTTCCTTGGCTATTTGGTTATTTGACATTTTCATGCGAATTAGCTTTCTTTTTTTTTTTCCCCTCATTGGAGAAATAGTTATAGCTTTCAAGTAAACTATAATAAACAAAGTTATGCTTCTTATTGAGTCTCATATTTTCATTTAATTTTAATAAATTAATATTATTTTTTATACAATACCCTAAGTCTTTTTAGGTCTGCTTCTGTCTATCTAAACATCAGTCAAATCTAAAACATCTCCTTTCCTAGCCGAATCATGAGACGGTTGACTTTTAATGTGACCAAACCATCTAAGACGACTCTCTCTAATTTTATCCGTCATTGGAGCTACACCAATTCTTTCATGGATAGATTGATTTTGCATTTTGCCTTTAAGTGTCAAGTCACTCATCCACCTAAGCATTCTCGTCTCAGCAACACTTGAACTTTATATTATGCTTCTCTTTTAAAGGCCAACATTAAGGGCCATAAAGCATTGCAGGTCTCTACATCTTATAAAATTTTCCTTTCAAGTCTAAATGGTACTTTTCTATCACACAATAGGCCCGATGCATTCCTCCACTCCAACCAACCAACTTGAATTCTACTAATTACTTATCCGACTATTGAAAAAAATAATTAAATTGGGCAATTATATTAAATGTCCTCATGGTCGTTGGTATGAAACAATTCTAAAGCAGACACTACATACCAGCTGGAAAAAAGTGGTGGATAAAAATTTCTGAATCCTTACATTTGGAACTTTTAAGTATTATTAGTGCCACTCAAATTAAATGCATTTTGATCCATTAGAATTTACTTTGTATTAAAATACATTCACCCGAATGACAAAGAAAACTTGAAGTTTCGAGAATTCATTAATGCAAGGAATTACATTGCTGGTATTAGCCATCTTTTTTTTCTTTTTGAACTTTCCTATGATTTTGGAGAAAACTTGAAGTTTCGAGAATTCATTAATGCAAGCAATTATATTGCTGGTATTAGCCACTAACTTCAGATTAACATATCAGGACAAACTAATTCCTACCTAAGGATGCAGTTCAGAACTTTCATATTATCTTCTTCTTTTTTTTTTGAACTTTCCTATGATTTTGAGGCAACGCTACCTTGTTTGATTTTGATTTTCATAACAGATACTTTTTGAGCTCATATCCAAAGGAGGAACTGTCAAAAAAATAATCGAAGAAAAGGATCTTGTGCAGGTAAAAGCTAATTTCAGCCATGTTTCAGAACTTAATTACATTTGTTTGCAGAACCTACCAGTGCTGAGAATTTCAAAAAAAAGGGACATTTACATACATGCACTCAATTCTTATGTATTTACATTATCTAACACCTAAAATTTTACTTTTTTTTACATTTATACCGCCCAAATCTTTCATATCACATCAAAAATACCATTCATTTTAACTTTAGAACCGTGAAATACAACTTTTCATACATGGGGGTGAGGTGGTGTGTTCGTAAAATTAAAGTTTAGGTTACATAGGAATGGAGTGGGTAAGTATGTAAATCTTCCTTAAAAAACTTGAAATAAATTCTGATAGATTTTCTTCTTTAAATTGGAAATTGTAGATAGCAGATGCAGGTGCCATTGAAGCCATGGTGGATAAGATTCTTGAGGAAAATCCCAAGCAGCTGCAACAGTATCTCGGAGGGAAAATTAAGCTGCAGGGCTTTTTTGCTGGCCAGGTTTGTTCTTTACAACTCAAATCTGGGCTGCAATTTTATATGACAATTCTTATATATTTACATATTTGACACCTAAAACATTCATATTTACATGTATACCACTCAAAACATTTAACATCACGTCAAAAATACCGTCACTACCCAAATACACTTTTTTCATGCATAGGTTTATGATAACAAAGTATGTGTTGAGAAAATTAGGGCGAAGAAAAACAAGAACGACACAAATCCAGAAGAACACAGAGATTTAACGAGGTTCGGCAAAGATGCCTACGTCCTTGGGAGCAGAGCGACGAGTTCCTTTCAATATTCAGAAAAGATGTTACAGAATTCAGGGATTCCTCCTGGGGTTACTAACAGACCTATTTATAACCCCAGGAGTAAACCTAGACACAATACATAATTAAAACATTACCCCTGTACCAAACCGCGGGGCTTTGCCCCCGCACCCCAACCCACGTAACTTCCCAATTTGGACAGATTCTTCCGCTCCGCTCTGCTCCGCTTCGATCCAACGTCTGTCCCGATATGGTATATGAGTCATACCATAACAAATCTCCACCTTGGCGAATATCCAACCCCTTAGGAGAAAAATACCTGGGAGTTACAACTGCACC